GCCTTCTAATTTAGACGCGAATATTTTACGGAGAAAAGATCTCGCACGAGTTGGAAATATTTTCGACGATAAATATTGATGATGGCTAGTTGAAAGACGCGTGGACCTGGATCTAGATCCTCTTCACGGTCCTTACGTTTCAATATTAGTAAGCAATATAAACTTAGTACTATATTTTAAATTTCCTCTTCCTTCTCTTCTATTGTACCCTAAGTTATTTTACAATATATACATTTTTTCTGTAACTTCTCCTGAAGAGGACCTAAATTGACCAATTTATAACGCTGTCACTATTGTACTCTCTATTAAGGCAGCATTGTATCCTAATATTTCGAACGATCTTGAAGGACGTTATCCCAGGCCAATCTGTTTATTTTCTACGAACCGTAAACACGTCTGTATCAAACTTGATGAGAGAACGAAGTCGTGAATCGGGTTCCTGAATGGCGCAACATCGAAACCGACTGGAAACGAGTCACGTTGTACAATGGCGCCGAGAAGATCCCAAATTTAGCAATACAACGTCCGCGCCACCAGACTCGAGAAACTCGACCCGATCACCGGAACACAAAGGCGTCTTTCCTGGACGATTGCGCCACGCGCCAACTAGCATAATCATGGTGATTAACGAGAAAACTATGTCTTCGTGGTTCTATCGTGAGATCGACAGCCACGTGCGCGTATCGATATGCGGAGCAGCGATTTAAATACAAGCGCGATGCTGACACGCCGACCTGCGCCTACGGTGACGAGCGAAACTGTAAACACGCGACGCTAATTTCGTAATGCACAGATAATGGCGATTATTCTAACTGGTGAATGAAAGAAAAATTATTAGAATTATCAAGGGAATGTATCAGTGGTAGCACTTATTTTCCTTTATGTAATAGTTACGACGATCAAAGTACGTACACAAAGCTACATCTGTGCAATGTTCTGCATGTTGCAATGGAAATTAATGAAAAAGTGTGGAATCGGATGGAAAGGTCACGAAATATGATTGGTGCCTTTTTTTGGGTGGCTATAAATGGAATAAATTAGTAGAATTTTCTTTCGGTTTGATTTGGAGCGAGTACATAAATTGAAACCATTAAAGGAGATGAAATCTTAATATTTCTCTGATGAAATGTGTTTACTCCGAAAAGTACAGAAAACGCCAAATCATTCGCACAATAGCTACAAAAATTAGAGAAATGTATAGGTGTGCTCCAATATGAAATCCTTTAGCCACAAGATAATTTTAACTCTTTCAAGCTCACCGAGAATCCTTGAGTTACCTTGGTCAGTAGTCATTACAGGAGATACCATCGACTTCTTTCATCACCGTGCCATTCACCATTAGCTCTCGAAGTATTATGATTTACAAAATCACAATTTGTCGCGCTGAGTGGCTTTGTTATTTCTGGATCGTTCTTTCAACACAGCATCCTCGAACCAACCAAGCGTCGCGATTGCTCGAAAGCTGTCGAGGGTGAACGTGACTGGCGATGATCCGACGTTAAGCATTTAGGAATGGTTTAACGATGTCGATCATTGAATCGACCTCGAACCGGCATCGGCTCAATCGACGACCTTGGTGAAAGACAACGGAGGCAGATGGTCAGCAAGGAGACACCATGGAATGTCTCATCGTCCAGAACGCTGATAAATGTGCATCAAGCATTTATCAGTGTTTAATGTGACATAAGTTGATTCCACAATTGGAATTATAATTTTAATTAAAATAATAGAAATGTCAATATGTTGCTGTAGTTTTTAATAATTTAGGATAGTGCTGCTCAAGATAACCTTATGCTGTGAAATTTATTTTTCCAATTGTTCGATGTCTCTTTAATTCCTTATGTGAAACGTTTACCGGGACAAAAATTTTGCCATTATCGGCAATGGAATTCGCGATGCCCGTTTCTTTCAAAGTGGCCGAGGACGAGGCGATCGTCCGAGGCGTGGGAGTGTCAGGTCGAAAACTTTCTACGAAGTGGTAATGGATATCGATCATTGTTCGAGTTTCGATCAGTTCTTTTTTTTCCTCATCCAGGTGTCCTCCGTCCCAAAAGGTGAGAACAAGCGCTTTTAAAGCACTTTACAGTGGATATCAACAGTCCATTACCGGGCGAGAGCGCGGTTTTAATCCATATGTATTTTCGAAAGTTCGAAACCCGCGGTATCGTCGATTTTTTGCGTTACATTTGTAAACGACACGGCCGAGTCGCGTAAAACTACACGATACCGTGGCGTACACGCGCTGCATTATGTAAGTATACTCGTAAACATGTAATAAATGCAAGGGAATGCGACGTTTTGGTCACATTTTATGGGACGAGAACGCGCGTGGGTGAAGAAGGCGAGAGAACTCGGGGCGATTTTTATGGTATCGAGAGTGTACCTCTCTCTGCGACGGGACACCGATGTCCATGATAAACATTCGTGTGTATCTGCCCAGACGGTAATCCGTTATCATCGAGTTTCGTTTTATGGGCAACGTCCGCCTCGAGGTATCGCCGTCAGAGGCGATACGCGTTTTTACAGTCGACCCCTACGACGCGATTATAAAATTTTAAGCGATCCTCGTTTGATGTAGATCTTAAAAATGTCCCGCGCAAGCTACACCTGGATCGGCAGGTTTCTCGGAATATTCATTTTCTTGACTGTCGTTGAATACCTTTTGTGTTTGGGTATTAGCTCATGCGAGGTCTTAACCGAGGGCTTTGCAAAAGCGTCAATCATCTAGAAGCTAATGAGTGACTTAAGAAAACGGATAGATTGAATATTGTACAGGGTGTCTTCGTTACTGATGGTACAAGTAAGTAGGGAGTGTGTGTATTATAAAAAAAAGTAAGTTTGAAAATTGCCATGCTCAGAGTATTTCGGAAACTAAAGGTCCTGTTTGATAAATATAAGAAGAAACTAAAATCGATATCGTCACTCGCTGGTACCACCAGTTACGGGACACCTTGTATACGCAATTTTAAGTGAGATTTCATGATTATCCTAGAGGTACTTGAAACTGTTTTAGTTTAGTATTAGAATATGAGGGGATGTGTTATAACTGCCCCTTTAATCTGTTCTTTATAGCCATCGAACTATCAACATTCTCGCCATGGGACTCTTATCCTGGATTAAAAGCCTTGGGTATGCAATTTTAATATCTCTATGGGCCTGGAGGCGGGGCCATTCTAATTGCAAATCAGGACCACTCGGGGACGCGTTTGCCGCTCGCTAATGCAAATTCGTCAGGTAGCCACTTCATCTTCGTCGCGGGAATCCGATGTGATTAACGATAACATTCGATTTGAAGGAAAAAGAAATGTATTGCGTCGCGTACGCGATACGACGAGAATTTTTATACGCCCCGCCCGATGCTTCGGTACCGGGTTTCGCCATTAAGCGAGTTTTGCTCTTATTTATCATCTTCAATTTCACATTCCGGGATATGCAAATGGGACGTGGGTTGGCTTGCCGAAACAAACGCTACACGAAAAGAAATTCCCCGGCGTCCTTTTTTTCTCTCTCTCCTCCCTTTTAACAAATCCACTACACCTACTGCGCGATTCGAGACCTCGCGACGATAAATTGCTTTCACTCGCGCGCACTGCGATTGGGACGAAACACACGCCTGGAAAATAATAAACCAAATTCAACGATGCATAAATTCTGGCCGGGCGAGCGTCGAAATTGGACTCGAATGGAATTGTCATCAACGGAGAGAAATCGATCGTGATGACAGAAATCATGATCCAGATCAATGTTCCTCCATATTCGACTGTGCTCAGTGGAAATTGAAATTATTATAATGATTAGTAAAAATGGAGTGACTTAAAATTAAGTTACCACATGGTTTTACAATTCTAAATCTATGTGAACGAAAATACTTACCTACAAGAAACAGTGAGTTTTCTTATTTACATTCACGTTGGTAATACAAGTACTAAAAAAGTTGGCCTTGCGGGCCCATGCATGCTCCAAAGCTAAAGTAATTCGATATAAACAATACTGCATATGATCCGTATTGATAAACTTGACACGTTCAGCAAATCTTTCAGCATACAAACGTGCTCCATATGTCACACCTTGACGACATTTACCGCGAATGAGACCTATATCAACTATCTTCGTTTTCGTAAAACACGGTACGACAACACTTTGGTCGTAGCTGCGTAATTGTACAGTCCTTAAAGAATGATAAGACAAGATAATGAAAGTATTCGATCTCTTGCTGTTCTGTTATCAATAGGTAGGTCATTTAACGCATCTCCAAATTCTTTATTAGAAGTAAAGTTAGAAAAACATACAACTCTACTTAGAAAAAAGAAGCTGACCTACATATCTGGTCGTATCAATCTTAACGTATAAAATTCCTCCATTTCAGCGAAACTTAAAATAGAAAGCGCGTATCAACAGGTGACTCTTATCTCGTTTGAACACATGCCCACACGTCGAGACGAGATAACCCGGTAGTGCAGTATTATCTCGAATGTACGGATAAAAGAATATATCCCGGGGTCAAAAGTGACCCGGATTCGCCTGACACCGGACTGTGAAACCTCTCGCGGTTTAATTGCCTCCTATCTCGGGCATTTCGCCCGTTGCCTATCGCAACAAACCAGAAAACCAACATCGCGAACAAGAGTGGTAGCGGGTGGGAGAGAAACAGAGAGCGAGGTGTACAGGGAATAAAGAAACACAGAGAGGAGGATAATAGACATAGATTATAGCGACCGGTGGGAGCTGCAACGGAGGCACACGGAGAGGGGAAGCGAAAGAAGCGGGGTAGAGCGGTCGTTTGCCTTGGATCGCCTTCGAACCAGAGTCCGAGCTCGATCCCGAGAGCCCGAGCGCGAACCCAGGCTCGATCCCGATCCCGATCCCGCCTGATTTCCGCCGCGCGCATTCCATCCGCAGGTTCGGCCGATCTCGGCCGTTTTCGAGCCGCTCCGTTCTCGTTCGGAGCCGCTCGGACGCGCGGCTCGGCCATGCCGTCGTGGAACTTCGGCCACAGTCGTGTGTCAGCGCTCGCGCGGAGTGGATCGCGAGTACGTGCTCGTTCCAAAACTGGGAACGTATAGAGAATGACGAGGGTGTCCTTTCTGGCCGTGTCACAAGACGCTGAGAAGGACGCTGAGTTCGCGCGCTGACGGTTCGTCGTCTGCCTCCGCAGCCATGTCATCGCGGTGAACACGCTCAACGTTTTTTACGATCGTTCGTCTCCGTCGAAGGTAGTAATATCGCACGTGGCCACGGCGGGGGCAGGATTGTTCTCCAGCCGGCGCGTTAACGTGCTGTGCGTGGTAACAGTGGATGTGCTCCGTTCGATCTCATCACCTCGCGACATATCATCGGTCAAGTTTCTCCCTCTGCGATTCTGTGTGCCCTGTGACCGGACTTAGACCGGTCCTCAATCCTGGATAACGCTCGTCCTCCGTGGAGCCGGCCCCGCGTAGCAACCGAGACTGGACGCCCCTCGACGCTGAATCAACAGGTGGGAAACTGCGAACTAACAGGTACATAACTGTTTATGAATTATCAGTTGGATTGGCCGGGTCGGTGTGCTATTTAATTGCGCACTTCCGTTGGTATTTTGTAACTTATTCGTTGGAATGCGGCTCCCGCACACTTGTATCGGGATCACTGTACTCCAAAGCGGGGTAGTCAGGTACGAAACGCGCGCTCTGCGTGGCGGTAGTTTCAGGGTAAACGATATTCGATTTCAACCTGAATCGTGAAAAATACTCGAAATTCGAATTCATTAATGATTTGTTGCTAGCGACAGTACCAGCAATTGTTTACATGATCCAAGCTCCTATTCTAATTAATACGTAGACTCCTTTATACTGTGTGTCTCGTAAGTAAGCGAATCGAAACGAATGGTTTCAAAAGTTTTCCATTTCACCGGTTCGCGGCAGCTGTCAAGTCGCTCCCAGGTGGCGCACAACGTCGCCCTCGGATTCCTCGAGCTCGCGGAGCCAAGACGCTCCAGGCTATCGCACGCACTCCTCTTGCACTTGCATTTCTCGCGGATCAACGGACGCTGCGTTACGCGTTATTCGCGCACCTGCACGACCCTCGTTCTCAGGCGTCGCGTCTCGTTGCGCTCGCGCGTTCTCCTTTTGCCTTTCGAAAGCGCGAATCGGAGTCGCTCCACGTGCGAACGAAAATACAGCCATTACGTAACGGAAGAGCGTAATCCTGAGATCTCGTCGTTCCTGTTCAATCGATTACGTTATTGGGGAAGGTTTCGGAGTCTTTCGGATCGGAGTAGGTCGACTTCGGCCCTGAAATATTTTTTCAAGCAAGGAGGCTGCTTGGAATGTTAGTTTTATACTAGAGACTGTTACTGTTTTCTACATTTATTTGGCTGGAGTTTGTTTTTTTTTGTGTTGCTGTTTGAATTATTACATATAGGTTGGATAAAATTTGGAGTAGGATCACATTCGGTACAAATAGTTGTTAAGGTAGTACATTTTATAATTCAAAGAAATATTATTAATGTAGGACAAATTTTGCCTGATAAATTTAATTTATTCGTTTGGAAAATTATTTGATTTAGCCAGATACTCTTAAATAAATTTTATATACCCGAGAGTGAAAATGATGATAACACAAATTTCAAACAACTCAGTTTAAGAAATGCGAATATAATTTGAAATAAATGAAAACAACTGTAACAGAGCATTCTGTCGGTAGGTCTTCCGACGCAAAAATTTTCTTTTTTAAAGGTACGGGGGCCCATCTTCCGCGAGTGTTTTGCGCGATGTTTACGCTCTCGCGCGAAGTTTACGCTCTCGCGCTAAGCGGCTACGCGAATTTTAACGGATCGCGTTTCTTTTGCACGAGTAAGCTCGAGATAACGATCTCCGCTGGATCCTCCGGTATTCGTGCGTTCTTGGAGCGCGATTCAACAGCCACACCGGTACCGAGAACCAGCTCGCAACGGGATATCGCGGCACGAGGTGCGCGCATCCCCGATTGTATGTACTCGCCATTAACAGCACGCTAAACATTCTCAGGAAATTTTTCTCACGCACGGACCTCGACCGTTTCCCTCTTGCCGCGTCGTTCCATGGCGTTACTTTCCCTCGTTTCTCTTGTAATCGCTCGTAATGACAATTTTCGACAGGAAAATATCGTTTCTTACGTTAATTGCATCTCGTATTTCGCGTGCAACCACGCGAAATGCTGCGATGTAGGTATTGGGTACAATCGGTTTTCCAAACGTGGGACGGAGGCTCCATTATCCTTACTAATAGGAAGAATCGTGAGGGAGTGTTTGAGTGTTACTGTGGTATTCCAGAAAATATTGTGCATTTCATCACTTTAACGTAAATTATAATTTTTATGGGAAATAATTTGATGGTAGAATATTCTGAGAATGATGGTACTCATCTAGGACTGTATGCTGATTCTTTGGGTGCAAAAAGGTACATATATCGATGTTCGATGCAACCATCAATGTTGAATCATCTCTAGTTTAATATGTGCATCTTTTCCCTGAAAAGATGATTCACGGTCTGAATTATACACTGAGCGAATTACAGTTTTAAAAAAGGTACTGACTATTTTATCGATACACACACTCAATTTCTATAAAAGGTTTAAAAAGACCAGACGTACAATATTTTCTGAAACTCTGTCATAGAAGATTTACTCCGAGATGTGTATTTTCACTCAACTAGAGATTCAGCTAAATTGGAAACTACGATTATGGTTTCCGTATAGCGGCAAACATTGTTACGTTGTCGAGGAAGTTTTGCATCACCTTCTCTCAGTTTTCCTACAAGTAACCTGTCTCACGTCTGCGACAACATCTCGATTCACTATGGTACATGTGATCACACCAGGAGTATGAAAGTTAATGATCTTGCGTTTCTTTTCAAAGTTATTCGCACTTGCATCCATTGTTCTCGGTTTCACGGGAAATTCAACGTTAGAATTTAAATATAATTAGTGCAAATAGTACTATTCATATTTTTCAAACCTCTGAGAGCATGAGACTGAAGAAAGGTACAATTGATTCATGAAAATAGAAATAGGAAATTTGTAACAGGAGGATACTCAAGTTATACTTCGTTTATTACGTGAAAGAAAAAACGTATTTTCAATGAAGACTAGCATGATAGTTTTCGTTTACCGTGCTGACCATTTTTATACAAAGGCATGCTTAACCTCAAGGTCCTATAAAACAATAGACAAGTGTTTACAATTACCTGTACTTATCACTATCCTTCAGTGCAGTCGAATGAATATTTATTTTACCTATCCACATAGCTTACAGCAATCGACAAGCTCTTCCTTCTTATAGCCAGACAACTTCATCGCAAAATATTTAAGAACCATAAATTTCTACCATCTGAAAATCGCAATTAACTTTTTTAAATCGTAACTGAAGATGCAGCACTAGGCGATTTGCAGTAAACTATTTGAGACAGCTTTCTAGATTGACTGACGTTTATAACAAAAAATGAGACACACGAGGACGACAGGAATGCGATTATAAGAAACTGTAAATTTAGATACGACGTAAATCTCAAAGCAAAACGAATTTAGTAACTTTTATGACGATGACAGAACGATATAGAGAAAGTATAAAATCACGTACGGTGACGTTGACAGCGGTCGTAAAAGTATTAACAATTTTAATCTTCTAGCTTAACGATAGCTCCACTTTTTTTCTTTTATTACCCATTTCACGAAGTACGGCACAGAATTGCTCGGTATCGATACTGTTTCGAAAGATAGGCTAATTGTTAACATAATACTCGTGATACACATGCTTTTCTGATAATGGAGTCTCGTGTCATCCAGATTTATTCATTTTCTAAGGAATATTTACTCTAATTATCATACCATACATTCAATAAATTTATTCCCTTCATCGTAACAAAAATTAAGTCATCTGTATATTAGTAAAATTGTTTATAAAAAAAAGATATTAATTACACTATATAAAAGGGTATTTACTACATCTAGTATTACCTTTAATTTCGTTAAATAAATTCGATCGTCGAATGAAAAAATTCTTCAAGCTTGGTACCCTAAGATCGCACCTCGGCCTTGATATCGACTCGATATATCGGCTCGAGTGCCTTGACCTTTTGGTCGATAAATCCGTGGGTTGGTTCTTCTTCGCGTGGAAGGCTGCGTTTCCTTTTCCAGCCTTTCGACACGATCGTTTTTCGAACGGGGCAGCCGCCTCGAGCTACTCGAGCCCAGAGAATAGCGCAGCGTGCAATGCGAAGATTACCGGTGCCAGTGTTTTTCGCGGGTTCGGACGCGCCCATCCACGAGAAATCGAATAATTAAACCGATTCAATACGCCATTGTGAGCTAATGGGCAAAAGTATAATAGAATTAGCCTCCGACGCGGCTGAATGGCAAATATCGTGCAGTTCCGTCGACCTTGGGAACCGATGCTCGACGTTAGAATGGAAGTGAAAAATTGCTATGGGCGAGGGTATACCAGCCGGGGCAGGTATATCGAGGATCACAAAACTCGCCTACGATTGTGCTCGTTTCCCTCGACCGTTGGCGCATAGGCGATCGAAGACCCGAGTCTCATGAATGAATCATGACTACCTTTAAGAAACCTCAGGATCCTCCCGTATGAGGAACCTTCACCGTCGGTACAGGTAGCCTGGCTGCACTTGTTAATTATGGACTCGTGCAAAAGTTGCTGCCAGTGTATGTTCTACCCAGGACTACATGGACGCACCAATGCAACGCTTGTTAAAATACCATTAACTAATATATCGATCGAGCTGGGTCGCGACCCTTTCGCCAGCGAATTAAAGTGAAAGCTCGTCTGGTAGTTATGTTTGGCTACCTAGAACTCGATGGCTGGTCTCTGCGTGCTCGGGTCTTGGGTTTGGAATATTTATGGATAGATCTTTGTTAGAGTCCCATATTCGTTTTTTCATTTTGTTATTGTCAAATTCGAGCAGTCCATTGATATTCGTAGTTAGAATATTATTTGAGCCGTTCATTGTACAAATCGATTAACTCCATAAAAGAAAAAGTTGAGAAATGCGGTGAAATAATAAGGTACATTATTTTTTTCAATTCTCTTTGCGATATATATTCAGATAAATATTGTAGAATGCATAAATTGGGGTTTCACCTAACGGTACATAAAATTAATAAGAAAGAATAGCGAAAAAATAATCGTTAATAATGTTAAAATTCTTATGTGACACGGTGGAGTTAATCGATTTATGCAATGAACGACTCATTTGTACTTATTCTTCTCCTTTAAATGGTTGTAGAACCAAAATGTCAGTCTATGATTGACTCAGTCGTAATCAAATATTTAATCGGAGTTGTAGTTTCCATTTTCTGATTTCTAAAGGCGAGCACATGTTTGAAAAGTGTAATCGAAGCTACTAGCTTTCCAGTTTGATTTATTTCAAAGAGCATAATTATTAGCCGAATATCTAAAATAAAATCAATGCATAGAAAGTCAATTAAACGTCTATTCCGAGATCCTACAGATCTCACACTGATCTTA